GCGGATGTGACCGCACGTGGGTACGTGTGAGCGTGTGCGGATGTGACCGCATGTGGGTACGTGTGAGCGTGTGCGGATGTGACCGCACGTGGGTATGTGTGTGTATCGATGTGACCACATGTGGATATGTGTGAGTGTGTACAGGCACATGTGGGCTCTGGTGAAGAGATGCGTGAACAAATATAGGCATGTGTGGGCAAGTGTGCACATGTATGGGGACGTGTGTATGGACATGGGTGTGTATATGAGCATAAATGGGCACATGTGAGTACATGTACAGGCATGTGTGCACGCGTGCATGGGCACACGTGAGCACATGCCCACATGGATGGGCCTGTGTACACACATGTGTATGTTCACATAGATGTGCAGGCACGTACATACGTGTATGTGCAGACACAGGCATGTGTGGTCACGTGTACACACGTATAAGCATGTGCATGTGGACAGGCTTATGCATATGAACACATATGGGCAGGTGTGACCACATGTACACACGTGGGCATGTGTGAGGGTGAGGGCACATATAGGCATGCACGTATGAGGGTGTGAGCACATGTGGATATACGTGAGTGTGTGTGGGCACATGTGTGCTATACAAGCCCGCATTTGGGGAGCACTGTCAAAGCTTCCTCCATCTGACACATTCACTCCACACTTCATGCCAGGTTATCAGCTGAGAAAAATCATAAATATTTCATCGCCCATCAGGGCTGAGCGGGGAAGGCACCGTCCATCACAGCACTCCTCGGGACTCCCACGGCCCCACGCGTTACAGCCTGTTAAACAAGACTGATGGTGGCTTGCAGCCTGGGAAGGCGGGGGGGCCGGATGCAAGGGGTGGGGGTGTCTGGTTCTGAGCTGCTCTGAGGGATGCATGAAGGGCCCCACATCCTCTCCAGCAGGGCTGACACAGTGGGCGGGCCTGGCGAACGCACGTCAACACATTGTCAGTGTGGCTCAGCATGGCAGGCTGAGGCCCCTGCCTGTGACCAGTCGTCCTAAGCCCCATGGATGCAGAGATGGGGCAGAGGCCTCTGTCTACAACCTCCCCAAATCAGAGCAGTAATTGAGGTCCTAGAGGAATGGTCACACACCCTGCCTTGATCTGGGGTGTCTGGGCCCTGCACCTGTAACAATTCTACTATCCAACATGGACTAGACTTCAGTGTAAAACACAAAAGTACAGACTTTCAGCAGAAGACGTAGGAGGGCAGGAGAAAGGTCTGAGGACCCAGAGCTAGGCAGAGAGTTCTTAGACTTGTCACCAAAAGCGTGATCCATAGAAGGGAAAACAGGTGAGCTAGATATCACCAGAAGCAAGAACGCCTGAGTCTCAGAGACTCTGGGAAGAGGATGAAAAGACAGGCTACAGACTGGGAGGCAAAGGTGCAAAACACACGTCTGAGCAAGGCCTATTGTCCAGAATGTACGGCAAATTCTCAAAACACAACAGCAAAACCAACCAACCAACCAACAAGCCAGTTAGAACACGAGCAAAAGACGCGAGGAGACACTTCACCAAGGAGGACATGGATGGCAGGTACTAACACATGGAGAGATGCTCCTCACGTTAGCCGCGAAAGAAAACCAAACCGTGCCGTCAAGACCACTGGGACTCACAGTGACCATTCAGGACAGAGAACTGCCCCAGGGAGTTTCCAACAACACAGACATTTATGGATGCAAACTGCCTTTTCTCCCACGGAGCAGATAGGGGGTTTGAACTGCTGACATTTTGGTTAGCAGCCCAATGCTTTCATCTCAGCACCACCAGGACTCCTACGTTAGCCACAAGGGAACTACAAATT